GTTGGTCAGATGTCTATGTGTTACACCTGCTATGGAAACACATTTCAGAAAGAATTTTGATATCCTTGTGTCATCATTCGGGTATAGCTATACTTCAGTATCTCTAATTAAAATACTTTTGTGAAATAATGATGCTGTTTGACGTCTTGCTTCTTCCATAAAATACCATGAATGTGATCAAAACATAAATGTCAATATTACATTACGGATGATTCATTACATCATCAACATTGTCAGGTTATATTTGGAAAGACATTTTGAACTTGTTTTCGTCATAGCATAAGAACAATAAACATAAATCCTAGAACATCCGCGTACGTGACAAACCTTCAAACTTCAAGAACAGTAGACACAATAAAACATTTTAGAAAAAAATAATACATTTCTGTATTCAGTTTATTGTTATCGTAGAACAACGAATGCTACATATAAACGATGGTGTCATGACATAAATATTTAAAATGTATGTTCTACGTATCTGCAAATACGGCCCGTTTATGTGTTATTGCAGAAAGTAACAAATGGAAAGCATTATTTTCCATTTTGTCATCGTTTGGAACTTTCCATTTTCTGTTATTTTAATATAATGTACATGGTAGAAATTTTTTTGTGTAAGTAGTAAATATGCACACACAAAAAGTTCATGTATATTATGAAGAACCTAAACAATAATTGAATGCTAATAGATAATATAATTTCAAATTTTTACCGCTATTTATTTTCTTTTGTCATCAATATTTCAAATTGTATTTCTGATATCGATTATTTCAGAAAAGCGTGTTATCATATTTGGATTAAACAAAATGTTACCAAGGACAATCAGATATTCTTTGTAGTTTTGGATTTACTAAAGTTAGCTATCTTAATAATAATGCATTTATACATACTTTCTTGTATATACATATTTACTGTCATTCTTTATCGAAGACAATACACGTTACGCTGCAAAAGCTTGTTGCCGACTTTGACATCAAGGACATATGAAGTCAAAATCACACGTTACCGATTTCCACACATTTGGACGAAGTAATGAAAAACGTGATTGATAATATCTTTGTATGCAAAATGTTTTATACCCCGGTTGTAGAATACTTAGAGATATTAGTAATCATATACTTTGAAATTTACGTGTCACCGTCAGCGATATTTAAAGAAAAAATGTTACATTTGGTTAAAAACCAATCTTACGTATCAGGTTCCTAATACACTTTGATATTTTGAATCCACGTATTATTATCTTGTTTACAAACATGGCTTTTTATATTACACAAAATCACGAATGCTATCGAGTTTTCGCTGAAATGCTGTATATATTTCAACAATTTTCTTAATTTCAAATTTGATAGAAGGTAAGATAATAATTACAAGGACAATCCTTAGATCTCACAATAACCTTTAAACTTCCATGAAACAGCTAAAAAAGCTCATTTAACAATAAAAGTATTGCATGCTTTGCAGTACTTTAATTTTCATTTGTTTGTTTAATGAAAATAGCTTAGAAACAACATCTACGAATCAGTACCGCTATTGATCTCGCTTTTATGCGAAATTAAGGTTAAACGAGAGTTACGAAATCAGAAACAAAAATATGTTTCACGTGAAATTAATCTTTCAAGATATATTAAAGATGGGCTAACACTATGAACATAATTTAAATAATATAAAGAACACCATCATAACCGTATAAATATGCATTAACACACTATCTATATGATAGGTATGCGCTCCAACTGATATGCAATACTTTGTTGAATAATTGAAAACTGAGAATATGACTGTTCATGATAAAAAAGAAATTTGATAAATCCATCAAAGTCATGTTTACATTAGGGTTAAGTACAAGTTGAGTACATCTATTTATAGAGTAATATCAATAATGTATTATGTTTATTTCAAACTCTTTGGTGTCACGAAATAGTGAAGTTTCCATTATCTATTTCCATCTGTTTTAATTCATGGCAAATTGCGACTCGGATCAGAATAAACACATGTACTTTACTTGGTTTTTTTCTAAATTACCATATATATGAAAATCACAGAATTTGTTTAATTAGAGGCCTAGTGTATCTCCCTATCTAGGTTTTGAACTTTCATTTCACCCTCATATGCCCCGTTTCCTTCAAAATCTAGGTCTTTAGCATCACTGACGAGTCCTAGAAAGAGGATCACTGTTTGGCTATACGGTATCTAACCTTGAATTTGGTTATAAAGGTGCTATTCATTTGTATGTTTTTGTATTATCTTTGAAATTTGAACATAAGTGCTTTATTCAATTTGCTAACTGAAGAGTCGAAGAAGGACGAAACAGCTATGTGATACAGTCGAGTCATTGCTTGACTCTGCTGTATCCAATTCTGAATTTGTATTGAACGGTGCTATTCACTTGTGCAATCTGTCATATCCCTATGTACATCCAGTTCTTTAAGCTTATGTTTTAGCACATTTGTTATCCCGTATCTAGATATTATAATTTACAACGTTATAAAATGTATAATAATGTAATTATTCACTTGAAGTTCACATGACTGGTCATTTCCGCATACTGAAACCTGAAGCTTTAGATATCAATCAGATATGATACTCAACGGAGAATTTTGACATACCCAACACAGATAAGACATTTATAAATATATTGTGTTGTGTTAATTTATAAGTGTATGCTCGTCTTTAAGATACATCTAGGTAAATACTAATTCATTTCTTTATCATGTGTTTTATTTATGGATAAATGTTGTAGATTAAAATTTGAAAATCACGAGGCATTTTCATTTGATGTCCTGATTAATGAGATGAAATATGTTTCAAGACATTCTTGTCGGTGTATTGTTTGTAAGTTTATATATTCACATCCAGGTGACAAGTATAAATGAATGTGTCTTTTAAATGGACCAAATAAATAACATTCATTTCTTATTAGAAGTGTTCCGCAAAAATTGTATGACTGCCAGCTTTTTCAGTCGTGCTTAATATTGTATATACACCAGCACTTTTATATCATGGAAGCAACGATTTTTCACTTGTGAATCTTAACATCGCTAACAATAGACAAAAATATCATACGTATTTGATATTTAAATATTGCCGAAAATAGAATAGAAATTCACTAAATTAAAAGATGTCACTGTAAGTTCATAGCATATATACACAACCGCATATAAAGTAGCCCATGCACTTATCTACTTTAGCGTCGTAATAAAATGCTCTAAATTTTAAATGCTTTTAGTTGAATATATTTCACGAATATATTTTCATTTCTTTCATTCAATTTTATGATCGAATTATTATGTCCACAGATTTCAAGTTCCTTAATATGGGTAGAATTGATTGTTTCATTGTTTATATATTCAAATTCTTTGGTTCCTTTAAATCGATGATGGACCATAAAACAACAAGGAAATACCAACATGCCAGTATAATCCTAACCAAATCTCAAATTCACTAAAAGTAGGGCAAAATATGAACAACAAAAATATTGACCCGATGACTCCCTAAAATGTACAAGAAGAATAAAACTGTGTTCCAGAAGAGTAAGCGTCATATGCTTCATCGACGACACCCGCCATGTAAATCTTGGGCAATCCGAGTAAGTAATGCCACGTTCTCAAATGAAAACAAAGTATATGTCAACGGAACCAACAGGAAAACTTATGAGCATCATAGATGTCCAACTTTGTATCACACAGAGAAATATATTTTTCACAATGATATCACTATGACGACCGTAAGATATGAATTGACTTCCTAAAATCTAACCCCCCTCCTTAACAAGCTTATAACATGACTACTGATGACACCTACACACACGTTCGCAGAAAACCCAATATAAGTATTCCAAAGTCTTGTTGGTGGCATGCAAACATGTGTTTTCTTCGAACTTCATTTTAGATTTGATGTTGCCCTTGTGCGAGGTAAATTTCACTCATTTTAGTGTCAAATAACTACCCTTTATGAAGGCAGTAGCTTAAGTGTTAGTGTCATCGGCAATAGTGTGATAAGCTTGTGGAACAACGCGGTCCAATTTTGACAGGTCAATTCATATTGAATGGTAGTCATACGGATGCGAAGAGTAACATTCAACAATACTCTGAATTTTTGTACTTATGTGTGGTGGTGTCATTGGTGTGAGTCAGAATAAATATGAACAACGGCTGCACTTGTGTTTTTATTGTATAACAGTTAACAATCGATGTGCGTTCATACATTTACTCGGATTTTTATATAGTGATATCTGAAAACTGTTTGAGGACATGTGGTTGTACATTAAAGTTTAAAAATACATTGATGATTTTTAAAGAGATAAGGGAGAGGGGGATATCATGTGTTTTAACAATAAAACAATAAATATGGATGTTACGATTTCTCTATTTACATTTATACCGCTCAAAGGTGATTAGTTCACATCATTGACAAACATAACGACAACCCTATTATCAAAATATTTAAATGTTACATCATTATGCGAATGTTAAGACCATATATGTGTGACAAAACCTAGCGTGAAAACAATCTCATTAATGCAAGCCTTTGTATATTGTTCAAAATCGGAGAAAATTGAAGTATTTAGGCGGGAGGTGCGTGATCTACTGATATTGTGGAGTGTCTTGTTCCTCAAGTTCACGCCAGCGGGCCTCACTTGAAACCTCTAACCGCCGTACTTAAAAACAACTCCCTACAATCGCAGTGACGTCTTTCTCCAGTAGATTCACTTGAGCCGACTTATATCCCCGTGTTTTTATTCATCTTTGTGTGTGCAAGTGAATGACTGGGGAGATTATGATTACGATATGGCCCCTTCGGATGTACTGCCATATTTTATATCCCAGATAATGTTAACTCTACCACACAGTGAAGCCTGGTGCGGTAAACGTTTAAAACCTAATCTTATGTAACATACACACATAGACACATACATATACATGATATCTTTACAATCACAATTTCGACAGCGAGTGATTTTTTTATAATTAATTAACATGCGTTTTACGTTCCATTTGTTGCAGTGCGAATCCATGTAAAGTGGGGAAAATACACTCTACGCCATGCATCGTCCGACTAGACTTAAGATCACAGAACTCAACCCTCATCTCGTGTGCGTCCTCTGTGGGGGTTACCTCATTGATGCCACCACCATAGTCGAATGTCTACACTCGTGTAAGTAAAACGTTATATATTACTGATAAATCTGCTCTCCATTTGATACTTTAACAGGTTTCTGTGGTACCTAAATAAACGTAATTTATCTGCAAGCGGATGCGATAATGTTAAGGACTGTTATTTCCACAGGCGGCCATGATAATTGAGAGGAAGGTATACCCTGACTCAAAACAGCAAGAGCGAGCTGTTTGAGTATTTGAGATCAAAAACGAATTGGCTGAACAAGATTATGCAACATAGTAAACCGCTAGCTTTTCTTCTTCTGGTCGATATTGGGTTGTCTGTGTTTCTTAGGCACCGAACAGGTGTCTGCTGATGCAGAAGAGTCAAGTTGTGTGTTTTAACTTCTGATACTGGAGCAAAGCAAAGGGGGAAGTCACAGTGGTTTCTTTATGAAACGAGTTTAGATACCGTCTATTTTCGTTTTCCTGAGTCCATCTGATAAAAAGAATAATAATTTCCTAATAGGGTTAATGTGGGTCTTGGTACACCAGTATTGAATTGCTTATAAATATAATTAGGAAGATAAATAACAAAATCAATTCGTACATCACATTCTTAAGCATTTATTTGATGGAGGTATGTAATTAGATAAAAAGAAACTTACTAGTTTGCTTGGCCTGGAACGTAAATGAAGAAATAAAATGAATAAAGACAAAATAAACAACAAAATCTACATTTACACGGAATTTCTTGAAAACATACATGGCAAAATGAGAATCATATGATCCCAAAGGAACGCATCTTCAATATGGAACAATTCAATATAGAGTAATATAGATATCAACTACACAATCGTCCCGGTATGAATACTGTCTTACCTTAACGATCGCTAAATTAGTCCTTACATGAATACTATTTGACATTAGATATACATTTTCTATGTATGAATACTTTACGACCTGATCGACACGATTGTCCCAATGTGGATAATATTCGACCTTAATGAAGCAATCGCCTCGGTATGAAAGTCATTTGAAATCAACGATACAATCGACCCTGTATGGATAGTATTCCACCTATCGACTCGGGCGTTTCAGTATCGATACTTTTTGATACCTTAACTACACAGTTATCAGAGTATGAATAATATTCAATCTTAGGGACACAATCTACCCTGTATGACCATTTTTGACGATTTTAATTGATTCACCCCATCATTGCCAGTAGATTACATCAAGAGTGATATTTTTATTCCCTCTTATATAAGCTTATCGCTATTTATTTTTTCAATGTCCTCAACCATCAAAACGATATCTGAGATGTAATTTTCTCTCTTAAAACATTACTGTTGTGCTGCTTTTTACCTCAACATATACGCAACGTTATCACCCTGAATGAACTTACAATGCACCGACCGACTTCATCATGTTGTAACGTTAAGCATCTTATTTCAGTACAATATTCGTGCGTTAACAAACAAGCTACATTTTATTTGTTTATCGCGTAGATATACTGCTAAGGATAATCAAGCTACATGTAAATAACTTGCTATCAGAATTTTACTCCTCGGTCAATTCTATAACACGGAAGCTTTGCTTAAAACGTTCGGTAAACAATATTGTTTGAAATAATAAACAGATGTTTTAATGTTCAGTGCAGTTTGCCTGCCAAAAAGATCGGAGGAAATTTAAATAAGTTACGGTAGATGTCCACAAATTCAGTTTATCATACTATTTGTTCTTGTTGTTTTTTTTTTTTTTTTTTTTTTTTTTTTTTTTTTTTTTTTTTTTTTTTTGTAGTTTTAAGCTTTTATAATTTCGTAACTATTAATATTTATTTTCCTTTTCTGAAAGATATTTGGTTCGTAGGATCTAAAATGATCGTGTTTAATTACATAACATTCACATTTCGTTTTCCGTTTCGATAATTGTCAGCGATCCGACTCAATATTGACATTCAAATTTGTAGAATGATTATATCGCCTTTATAATTAAACATTATGCATACAATGCGCCATGTGCATGCATGTCTTCCTAAGATATTAAAACTATTCTTAAATAAAAGACAATATTATCGTATCGTGAAATCTGAGCTATTTTTTCAGTTTTAATCAGTTATAATAATATCTATTTCATGTCCGATCTGAATGCGTTTGAATTGCAATGACACAAGGCAGAATCGTCCTAGTTTTCGTTAGCGTGTTTGTATTCGGTGAAACATCACAAACCTGCATTATACCATTGCTCTGAGGATCGCCGACCCGTGAAATGAGAGTTTTGATGTTATCAATTCAGCGCTTCAACTTATCATGAAACCCTACGAGAAATCAAACAAACTGACGCAAAAGTCCCAAGATAATTGTAAAATTTGAGATATATTATACTCACAGAGATCGTAAACACAAAACAAGGGAGAATTCTATGCTTAAAAATAAAAGTTAGCTTCATTGGAGCAACATGTACCGTTACCATATAACTTATTTACGCCTGCTGGTAGCTGATGCAAATTAAAACACGCTTTCCAAAACTGAGTAGCTAGCGAGAATGTAACTGGATATAAAAGTTAAAGAAAGATCGTGTATACAGAACATGAAATTATCGATATAATTGTTTCCTTTTGTTCCGTTTTTTCTTCTTTGACAAATTAGATTTTTTATGTTTAAATGGTATTCTGTTACAGCTTATTGTCCTGATGGCATAGCTTACATATTTCGTATTCAAATAGAAACCGAAGTACGAATATAAAAAGAACGATGTGAGAAATATTCTAAAATCACGACATTAAACCATGTGAAAAAAACTAAATATAAGAAATTGAAACTAGTCAGCATAATCCAAACTCTGATTCAAGAAAACTAGGGGGAAATGTGGACAAAATAGAAAGATTTACACGGAAAGACATGGAAAAGTACAAAGAGAAGTCCAGGTGTTCCGAGTAAATAAGCGTCTTCTGCTTCATCGATGACCTTGTAAACCTGGTCAATCTTAGTAAGTGATATCATATTCTCAAATGAGAACAAGGTAAATAAAAATGGAACACGAAAGATGTCTGGCTTTTTATCTCACAAAGGAATAAAAATTTGTCAATGAGATCACTATTACGACCTTAAAACTACCCCATATTTTTATCAACCGGCATCTTCCGAAAGCCTGTGTTGCGAGTTTGTCATTCAGTTGAGGAAAACAGTGGTAATGAGAACATGCCCTTAAATTTCGAATCAACAGCGACATGTAAACAGAATAGTTTGCGGATGCATTTATGTTGCTATCCAGAAATGGAAAATTCAAAATTGAAAAATAGTAATCATCATGCTTATCATACAGTCTGGTGGAGAGCTATCTATGTTGATTTCGTTGTAAGAAATGATCGAGGTAAGCGTTTGATGTATGAGCGTCTGAAAGAGAAATTAAACGACTTTGTAAGGTCTTTGAGACCTGTTTTGAAAAACTCTTCGGTATGCAAAATAGCTCAAGTCAGCCAAAAAAGGGGCAAAACACTTTCTGCATATCAAAATATTTCCTCGTTCTTTATAACTAATATATAGCGGTACAGATTACCTCTACCAGTTCAACTTTCTAATTACCACGTTTTTTACTTACTGAAACCTTATACTGTATGTGTAATAAGATCTATTTGTTTCATAATGTAAAAACAAATATACTACTTAGTAAAATCTCTTGTCCTATATTGCTGTTGCAATATGTACAACCTTTACTCTTCCATCTATATAAAAAGATAACGTCAAATATAGGCTTTTGTACCATTGATTGTTTTCGGGTTATTGTAACCTTTCTGCTGTGTCATTCGAAGAGTTACATAATATTTACATCGATTGTATTCATGCGTTGAAAACTTGAATTTCATCTTCATGCCTGTTAAATTCTGTTGGCTTTTGGCATTTTATTAATCCCAACAACAAACTATTTTTAACTTGATCAGATGAATGATAATGAATACCGATGAGCTTCCTTGTGTGATTTTTATTATCCATGCGTTATGTATATAACCAAAATGCATTAAACAATAAAATATCTCTGAAAACTATTCTGATATGAATGTTTATAGGTTCTGTATATTGTACGTGCAAACCTAGGGATATCCATTGATAATGCAGCACATATATTTTACTAAACATTAATTAAACATCAATTAACTTTCTAAATTATTGTAGTTGTTCTCAGAAGAGTACATGTGCACTTACATAAATATCTGTGAAGTCGATAAGAACATTACATAGTTTGATGACGACATAACTAATAAAGTAGTTGATGTTTTATGATATCGTTTTATTACAGTGTCTGGAGATTTATATCGATCGATGATAAATCTTGAATTACATTTGATTGGTAACGAGTGATACATATCATAACCATGTTTATTGACTACTTAAAGCGACATGTTCGTCTGAATTTAGTACGATATATCAGAAGTACATACATAACACTTAACATTGACATTTTAATGAAATTTTGATTTGAACTCTAGATCAATGCAACGAGAGTAAAACATGTAAAGAAAATTAACTCGAAGACGTTTGAAAATAAGATCAAGGAGAACCCCGTGAGTAAGCGCCATTTGCATCGTCGATATTCTGCTATGCAAATCGAGGCCAATCAACGTAAATAACGTTACACGAAAGAAAACTGAAGTGATATTCTAGAAACGGCAACCTTTATGTTCTCCGTCCTGCTTCTGTATTTGCATTTAGTTTTACTTTTCCAATTCTTGAAGATTGGAGAATAATTATTCTCCTTGTACTTTTACATAAGTATCCTGGTACATCTTTCCTCTGTTCATATCTTTCCTTAGTTGTATTGAATTCGAGTTTAGATGATCATTTTGTTGACAAAGTGGTATTTTCTTGGTGATATTTCATTCCGCCCTGGTATTCAACTCTCCATTTTGGTTTTAATTGCTTTAAATGAGTATATTTGTGTGAATTTATTTTCTATTTTTGTCTGTCTTGACTACTACATATATAACGACTTTTGCGTGTTACAGAACATTTCCAAACTTAATATCATTTTTGCTCTACAATTCCTTACTTCGCAAGA